ACCAAGGCTGGCCTCGCAATTCTCGTGAAGGGAAGCGGAAGCGTCTTCAGGAACATGCCGGGCTTCAAGAGCGGAACAATTTACGACGTAGAGATGCTACCAAGGAACGACTTCAACTCGCCGGAGGCAGGATGTTCCAGAAACTTCGCAATCCAGTTATGAAATCTTTCTCTGAATTAAACCCGATTGTCGCAGGCGAAGTCCGAGCTGCCACATCTAGGAAGAAAGCTCACCGACGTACAAGAACTCAAGCAAGAGGCAGGAGGAACAAGCTTGGTACGTCAGACGTTGAAGTCAATGGTTCCAACGAACGCGAAAAGCGTGATGCTGGTGGACTTGCATGGATACGACATTTGGCCAGGACTTGCGGTGATCGAGGAGAACTGCCACGCATCCGACCGAACCATGACAATGGCATCTATAGTGTGGGATAGAAATGCTTGGTTAGACGAAAAACTGGCCAACCACGTATTCCAATCTGCTAGGAAAGGAAAACTGGCCTTGCCGGGGTGGCCGGACTTTCAAGGACTTGTGCAGAGGATGCAGGCCCTCACGGACACGGAGCAGACGCAAGGCCTCTCCCTTCAGGTATCCGTCGTTTTGCAGTCACCAAGACGTCTCCTCCTGCTTGCAAGCCTTGCAGAGAAATTCCTCAACATGGACGCGGAGATCGCAGAGGAAGCTCAAAGCATCATCCAGGCACACAACAAGAAGTACAACGCAGAGGAAACCGACATTGACTTTCTGTACACAGAGCAGCATCCTGGCTTTAATAGTCAGTCAGACTGCCTTGCAGCCCTGAGAGTTCGGGATAGTGTGTGCAGCCCACCATCACGGGTCAACAAGCCTTATATAGAAGGACGCTGGTGGGATAAGGACGCTGGCCCATATAAGGTCGATCGCATTTTTGCCTTTTGAATCAAAAAGTTTCACGGACGAACGAAACGCGATCAAAAGATTTCTGAGATGTGCAATTTGCCTTTGAAATGTTTGGATTGCACACCACTGGCTACAAAAAAGTCGGGATCACGTGCGAAATGGGCTACACACCCGAAGCAGTCATGAGCATCAGTGCGATCATGTTCGGTTTCTTATAAGAATCTAGCTCCTAGATTGCAATTCCGGGACCTGATTGTATAGCTCGAGGAGTGATTCGCCAAAAATTGGGGCAAGCTGTCGGGGGATTCAGTGTGACATCGGTGTTCTAATACTGTGCATTAATCGACTTATAATGGGATAGAATAATAGGTGTGTTACACGTTCGCGTGTGATGGCCAGCACTCACAGCCGGTACGCCTCGAAGATTCAGGCATACACCGAGTTTGTCGTCGGCAATTAATGCAATCCTTAAAGATGTGCGCGTGTGTCTAAAATAGTGTTGATATTTGTATAGCTATAAAAAAATGTATGGTTGAAAAGAAGTATCTGTATATATATATATATACACATATATATATATATACATATGTATACCACGCATTGTGACATATAAATTCGGAGAAATTATGTAGCCATGGACTCCGGCCATCTGCATGCTGGAAGCTGGCGGACGATGACGTGAGCACATGCTGCATCCGATCTGCATGCAGACGATCTGTTTGTTTTACTGTCTCTGCCAGCGAAGTCCCATCTGCACAGTATATCGCAGCAGCACATTCTGTGACATATTGCGCACATCAGATTTCGAAGCCAGACTCTTAATCCGACGGATAGCGTCTTCCCCAAGATAGTTGCTGAAGTATCTTGGGTTGCGGGGCTTCCAATCCAATACGCAGTGCTCCAATAAATGGAGTTTGGGCCTAAAGTGGTATCTCGGTAGCACTCGAGCTATTGCACTTCGTGCAAGCTCGTTGTACGCAAAACGAAGCATCAGGTAGCAATCCTCGAACTGCTGTGCGGCCGCATTGCCGAAGAAGCGACTTGGATGCATACACTGCCATGAAAAATTTAAATTCGCAACATAGTGCTGACTGAGTGCCCGTTGTGTATCATCAGCATCTCCATATCTCGAAAAGCCGTGGCAGCTGCCAGCAAGTGCCTGGGTGCATGCACGCTCATGTATGCTGAAAGTTTAAGTCTACAAAACACATGCATATAAGGTATGTTCCAAGTTGCTCCAAGATAGAAGTCGGTGCGATCTGCTCGCACACCGTTGTCAAGAAAGTGCATGCCCATAGCAGCATATATCTGCAAGCCGTCGCAGAAAGAATTCTCTGCGAAACCTCGATATTCTTGTTGTTGCGCAGAACTGCTGTTGTAAACATGCGTCTGCTGGCGCGATCACCAAGTATCTGAGAGGCTTCAGCCCAGGATCTGTAATCTTTCCACAACAAATCCAGCCGCTTTTCTCGCGATGCGCCCGGCAATATCGTAGTGTCGTCAGTAACCTCCAGCAACATGCTGCCGAGAAAATCAACAGCCACTGCCAAGTGTACCATATGCATGTAGTCAGGTAGCAGTCCTGATGGGTCCATGTCAAAGGTTTTGTTAACTGTTCTCTAAACATCAAGTGTAACAGTGCTTATATAGCCAAGATTCTGGAGGGACCAAACCCAATAATCTTAGTCAATGGAGATTCTCCGTGTGCTTCGATGAAGTCCTCCTTGGTCAAGATCATAGTGCTGCGGTGGAGGGCGTCATGCCCGAAGCAGGAATAAAGCAGCTCCACGTTGTTGGGTTCCCCCGGCTTGGCTACAGCATTGATCCACTGGATTGCCGAACAGAAATGACATGTCATCTTCTTGTTGTAGAAGCCTTAAAGTTGGATCTCACCCGAAATATATTAAGGGATTGAAATTCAGGTATAGGGTCCTGTTGCGGATGAGAAACGATGCAGGCCCATAGCAAGCTTGTGGTATTCCCAATCGGCTTGAAACCCATCAAAGATGCAGATATAATCGCCGCAGATTCGTGTGCCTGCCACTTTTGCCCTTTCGGGCATGTAGCCCGGCCCGAACTCCTTCCCGAAAGCGTCGCAGCGAGGGTGGACACCCGAGCCTCAAGATTTTGCAAGAGTTTGTAGGTGTGCCGTTAGCAAATTTATTGCGCTAGCAAGATAGTCGAGTGGCTCAGGCAATTAAAGCTCCATGCTATAATGGTCAGCAGCTTGTCCCGCGCAGCCGTGCTGCAGTAGGTGGCATTCATACATGATAGCCTGGGTGTGGCCCACGTAATTCGGGGCTTATGTGCATCGCTCCATGTTGATTCGACCCGAGGTTATAATTTGCGCGTCGAGACACAGGAACCGGGTGTTCAAGGTGGACGTCTCAGCTTCAGTCTTTGGGACCGTCACGAGGGTCAAAATCTCGAATTTTTGTCTACCTTAGTATGTGTGCATGATACATCGACCTCATGAAGTATGTCACTCATGCTTGCGTGATGATTTGGCTGAGAAGCGATAAGCATCTGCGCCGTCACCATAAAGCCGTAGCGGCACCACGTAATCGAGATTGCAATCGGGGTCCTGCATGCAGACAGACCACACCAAGATCAGCAAACTCCCCACCCAATTCGGCCCAGCTGCATCGAAGGCGGGGTGCGGCTTCACAAACGCGCTCGTGGCTGCCAGCTCCTCTTCCCAATATGAACGAAGAGCCTGAGCTGCATGTGCATTGCAAGCCTGGGATGAAGATGTCGGTGCATGAGCATGCTTGTTCGACTAAGAGGCCCCTGGGGGTCCTGTAAGAAGTGAGAACAGGTCTTCTCGTTGGTAGAATGATGCCACCATCTCGTGGGGGAGGTACATCTCGTGCTTGATGGTGGTCCTGTGTTCGCCCCGGGCATCAATGTACTCCTGAGAACAACTAAGTCATGGCCATGTTTGCTAGAATGTGTGTTAAAATATGAAACATTGCATGCGTCCCAGCCGCCATTGGCACATCCAGCTGGAAAGCTTGAGGCAAGGCTGCTCCTGGGATCACGCAGGACTAATCTAGATCAGTTTCGATCAGAGGGCATGCGCTGTAAGTTTAGATTGTGTGTGGATTGATTGATTGCCGGGCTTCTCCAGTCTTGTTTCTTGAGCCATCTCGCGATACAGCGACCACTCCCATAAGACTGGCAGGAGTCCAGAGCATCCAAAAGTTCCAGCGTATCCTGCCTGAGATGCATGAAACTGACAACTTCAGAAAATCATCGCTCCATGCGACTCAATTGCGACGGGGCAGCGGAATCAAGCTATGAGGCAGCTCGCGCAGTCGGCCTGCAAGTGCTGGGCAGCAGCTGCAATCCAGTTAAACGTGCTAGCTGCTAGCTGCTGCTAGCTGTTATGTTGTAAGACCGCAATACAACAGCCTGGCCTAGAGATTTCCGTAGTCTGCTCAGATTGGCCTGCAATCCAAGTGTGCAGTTATAAAGACACAGACGACAGCATGCATGGTGGCACCTCCCCAGACCCGAACATCTCCCAGGCATCATGGATCGTCTGGTCCACATACTCCTTCATGCTGAAACCTGGATTCGCCCTCAGTTTGGACTCCATGGCGGCAACGCTTCTGCATCATGAAGCTGGGACCTTCAGGTTCTTCTGGGGCTTTGGTTCAATCGTCAGCATGGTTTGGGGTTCAGGGGTTTGTGTCAGTTCAGGGTCTTGGGATTCAAGGGTTTGCGTCGGTTGTTGGGGTTTTAAGATAAGGGTATATAGAGCTTATAAAGGATTGGCAGGCAGTGACTTTGATTTCCAAATCATGATCGAGCCATGTTCTACCGAATTGGCACATGTGTACATTTACATGCACTCTCGATACAGACGCTTGCATGCCTCCAATCTTGCGGAATGCCGAGCAACTTTTGGCTTCCCCGGTGTCGGTGTTTGAAACTGAAATCGCTGCATGCTACAGGTCAGGTTCGAGACGGCAGAACATGCAGGTTTTGCAGGTCGACCTAGGTTGCAGTCATTCATCGAAGCATGACAATGACAGCCATCCCCGACCCATCTAGCATCTACAGCTGCCGATCTGGATAGTTCGGCTCCCAGAGCACTGCATTTGCAGTGCCACATCTTAGGCGCGGCGGGCTCGTTTGGCCGGCGCTGCGGCAGCTGAGGAATCCCACGCTTCGGTGTCCCAGCTGCTTTCGTACTCAGCATCCGTAGCACCGCCATCTTTGACAGCTGCCTTTTCTGCTTTCTTTCTCTCTGAGTTCAAGCCTGCAGCATGCTCGTATTGCAGTGTAGATCGAGACTCGAGTCAGCTAGCTTGCATGCATGCAAATACCGAAGACTGTAAGTGCATTTAAGAAGCGGCGATAGTGGCCGGCAACGATATCCTCTGCTGAGAGGACGGCCTTGTTGGCGGCCTCGATCCGTGCTGGCACGTGCTGGAATACATCATCCGAAGGGGCCAATCTGCATATATCGAGGGTTTGATAATCTACTAGGCTTGGGGTAACTAATCGGGCTTAAGACCCAACCTCGATCTCGGCTCGTTTCTCCTCCACCTTCTGGTAAACATACTCATCCTCGTACCCTGCGAAGACGCATTCGTTGATCCTGGAGGCACATGCATGCAATGCATAAGAAAGACATCTACATGGAGTGGACTATATATAGGTGGTCTGAATCGGATTAGATCGAGCGAGGCACTCTGCATGAATCCTCATGTTTCTTGGTGCACGTCTTGCATGTGCTTGATGTTGGCCTGCAGCACCGATCGTTGAACATGCAACGGAATTAACCCAGTGGTTCTCCTGATTTCGGGCGTGAATGCACGGGTCTAGAAGTTCTTGCGGGTTTGTATTGCATAAGGGATTGTGGTTTCTTGATGCTGTGAACTACGCGAACTAGAATATAAATGTGGGCCACTACACTGGATCTTGAATTGTATATCAGACTACCGCTGCGGATTCTAGATAATCTGCGGTAGAATGCTACATGTCTTGAAGCAAATAATCAGGATCCAGGCCTCCTGGCGCTCCAGACCCGAACGTGTAAGGTTCTGGGCCACTGTTTTTGCTTTGGCAGCCAAGGACAATATCCTGGACAACGTGGAGCTGCCCTATAGCTGTTGCATGCTGACAACAGAAGTTCGCACATGGCTGCTCGGCAAGCGTCTGGCTCATCGTCTTATCAAAATCACGTTTCCTCACTTCTTCATCCGTCAGAACCTGCGAAGCGAAGTGATGCTGTATGAGCATTCCAGACAGGACTGCAGAATTTGTATGGAATTAGTGTTATTGAGTGGTGTACATCTCACAGTGAAAACATGCTGTCCTTGGGCTCTTTTGTAGCTTTCTTATTCCCCTTGTCGTCCAGACCCTTCACAAAGTCGGCAGCTTGGGAAGTCATGATCTCCCCGAGCTTCTTTTTCGTGGTTTCGTCGGCTTTTCCGATCCGCTTCCTGGCTGTGGTCTTTGTGCCCACCTTGTTCACGTTTGCACCTTGGTCGTCGTGTCTCTTCTGGGTTCGCTCCCTCTTCTCTCTCTCCCTCTCTCTCGCTCACTCTCTCTCTCTCTCTCTCTCTCTCTCTCTCTCTCTCTCTCTCTCTCTCCCTCTCTCTCTCGTGGTTCTTCATGTCATTTCTAGATATCTCTAGATATCTAGATATTCAAGTATGAAGACATCTCTGAATTCGTCACAGCTGCTGATCTCCTTTCCGTACTCATACACCTTATACAACCTCCAGGAGGCACTGCCTTTTGCTTGCGGATGCTCCCGCCCAGACTGTTTCGCCAGGATATCTTCTTGAAGAAAGCGTCGGCCTTCTTCTGTATCCCCGTATTTCTTCTCTAGTTCGTGAAGAGGGAGTTCGATGTAGTGGCCTTCGTTCCGCTTCTCCGAATACCTGAGATAGATCTTGAAAGAATGCAACCGCGATCGTGTGAACTCTGATACTCAGTAGATGTGGATCACAGCAAATGATCAATGCTGCCCGAGCACTCGCTGTAGATCGCTTCGATGTGCATATCGCCCATATTCGGGTCAAGCATAAATGCCTTTAAAAATTCGAACCTTAAGGATGTTCCAGGGTCAGATAGTCACAATTAATGGATTCAATATGGATAGCGATCTCATTGCATGCGTAGCTTAAGTTACTATCCGAGAAGCTTCCCTGTGGTGCTCCTGGTTGCTTCCCACTTTTCGAGTAGTCCCGGGGGGAGTCCTGCGTGGAAGTCTCTATATGCTGTTTGACAATCATGAACGACCACTGCAGCACTGCTCTCCTTCAGGCTTTTCCATGCGCCGCTTCATGGCCTCGCGCTGCCGGCGACGTTCCCCGGCGTCCATCTGGCTGGGGTGTGTCATGGCCTGCGTGCAATCTTTGGGCTTGCTTTCGCGGTAGAGATAATGTGGGCTCTCTGGCTCTCTGTCCTGGATCGATTGCCGGGTCGCTTCGTCCAAGACTCTGACCTATAGCTGGGATTCATGGCAGGAGGGGTGCATGCATGCAACACATGCACCGAAATAGGTATAGGGTCCGTGCCCTCCTCACCTTGCCGTCATCGTCCCGCACGCCCACCGGGCTGATTGAGGACTTCTCCGACTGGACGCTGATGCTGGAGGGCGCCCGCAGGATGGATTTCCTGACCCGTGTCTGTGAACTAGCTGTCGCACACTAACACACACACACACATACACACGCACATACATATTTATGCACGAGCGGATCATGTGCAACCAGGGGGCGGCTTGGGGTAGGAAGCCGGAGCAGGCGGGTCGGCAGCACCCACATCCATACCCTCATCATCCGGATACCCCGAAGTCGGTATCCCTTCATCATCATCATCAGCCCACTCCTCACCCTGATCGGCGTCACCGGACTCCTGGCCCTCCTGATCACCTTCTTCATCCCAGCTTTGATCCTCGTCTTCATCGCCAGCATCATCAGGATCAGGTTGTTCCTCCTCATCTTCCTCTAGGTCCGCCTCCTCGCCATCCTCTCCCTCATGGGCCTCCTCGACTTCGGTAGAAGGCTCCAAAGCACCTGCACAGAAACCAAGTTTCAATCTTTCTCTGGTCTTTCTCTTTGTCTCTCACACCTTAAACCCACCTAAGCCACCCACCCAGCCACCAGCCGAGAGCCGAGACGAAGAGAGAGAGAGAGAGAGAGAGAGAGAGAGAGAGAGAGAGAGAGAGAGAGAGACAGAGTTTTACCCCCCTACACCATAGCCCTAGACGACACGAAAGAAAGAGAGAGGGAGGGAGGGATGGAGGGAGGGAGGAGATAGAGAGAGAAGAGAGCAGAAACAGCAGTCACAACACGACATGTTCGTGCGTGCATGAGCAACTATAAACCCCCACGAGTGCATTAAGCTGGGCACCTTGGAGAACATCCAGCAGAAACTTGTTGTGATGCATGAGCTGCGCTGCTGGTGCTTTCCCCCATGCCGTTGTGTGGGTCGGGTGGTGCTGGGCCTGCCAGTTCTTGAACATATCGAACATGCTTTTGTTGTTGGCTATGCTTCTTAGGCGTTGCTGACACAGCCTTGGTTGTTTGGCCTGCATGTTGGACAACTCGCCGAGAACACAAGTGGGTAGCACAACGCAGGGGTTCTGGAAGTCTGAGTCTGCAATCTCTGCCCTATTGGTCATGTCGTGTATGCTCAGCTGCCAGTGCTGATCCTCGTCGTGGTCATGCTCCGTGTTGCACAGCTCCGCGGCTTCCTCGTGGACGGCCTTCAACAAGGCTCTTGTCTCACCCTTCCCGGCCCCAGAAAAAGCCGTGCCCTTGTGGCCCTTGTTGCCAGCTGTGCCAGATCCCTTTGGGTGCTCATGTGCTCCTGCGCTCTTGGTGGATCCCTTCGCTGCATCTTTGCCTTTGCTCTGCTTGCCGGATCCCTTTGGGTCTGCTGGTCCTGCGCTCTTGGTGGATCCCTTCAGCTCGCCATTGCCTTTGCTTTGCTTGCCGGATCCCTTTGAGGGGTTGGGGTGCTCCTCTGGCCCTGCGCTCTTGGTGGATCCCTTCGCTGCATCTTTGCCTTTGCTCTGCTTGCCGGATCCCTTTGGGGTGGGGTGCTCCTCTGGTCCTGCGCTGCCGGATCCCTGGCTTCTGAGATCGCCTTTGCCTTTGCTTTGCTTGCCGCCTCCCTTTGGCGGGTGCTCCTCTGGTCCTCCGCTCTTGGTGGATCCCTTCTTACCGGATCCCTTGGGTGCTGCTGAGCTAGGCTTTGCCGATGCATATGTATCGGTGTCGAAAAATCGTTTCATCGACTCTGGGTTGAGGTTCCGGAGTTCCACCTTCTCACCAGCCTGGCTTTGCTTGCCGGATCCCTTTGGGGGTGGGTGCTCTTCTGGTCCTGCGCTCTTGGTGGATCCCTTCAGCTCGCCTTTGCCTTTGCTTTGCTTGCCGGATCCCTTTGAGGGGTTGGGGTCCTCCGTTGCTCCTGGGCTCTCGGTGCATCCTTGCCTTTGCTTTGCTTGCCGGCTCCCTTTGGGGGGTGCTCCGCTGCTCCTGTGCCTTTGCTCTGCTTGCCGGCTCCTTTTGTCGGGTGCTCCGTTGCTCCTGTGCCTTTGCTCTGCTTGCCGGCTCCCTTAACGGGGTGCTCCGTTGCTCCTGTGCCTTTGCTCTGCTTGCCGGCTCCCTTTGGGGGGTGCTCCGTTGCTCCTGTGCCTTTGCTCTGCTTGCCGGCTCCCTTTGGGGGGTGCTCCGTTGCTCCTGTGCCTTTGCTCTGCTTGCCGGCTCCCTTAACGGGGTGCTCCGTTGCTCCTGCGCTCTGCTTGCCGGCTCCCTTTGGGGGGTGCTCCGTTGCTGCTGCGCTCTTGGTGGATCCCTTTGCTGCAGTGCCTTTGCCTTGCTTGCCGGATCCCTTGGGTTGCTCCGTTGCTCCTGCGCTCTTGGAGGTTCCTTTCGGCTTGCCTTTGCCGGACCCTTCTCCCTTTAGTTGGCCGCCGCAGCCGCTGGTCCGCGGCATCTTCCAAGCGTCGCCCTCATTATCATGCTCTGCAGCACGTTTGGGCGCCATGTTGATCGACGAACCCCGCCGGAAAACCTTTGATCCCACACGGCACGGAAAGGCACGCACCCAATCCCAACCCACCGCGGTCGGCTCCGGGGCCAATTTCAAAAGGCACGCAAAGGCACGCTTTTGGGCCCCATATAAGGACGCTGGCACGAAAAGGCACGTAAAGGCACGCTCTCTCCGGACCCCGTCCCGCCCCGGCCGCCGCAGCCCAACGCTCGAGTCGTGCCTTTTCCTGCCTCTTGCCCATTTGTGCATGCCCCAAAGCACGCACACTATTTAGCAGCAGGCCCCCACATCAGCACAAATCGAAGCATTCGTGTAGGCTGCCGATCGATTGTACGTGAGTGCATGCATGCAGCACATGGAACACACACACGCACACACTTCAAGTCTCTTGATCTGTTTCTTTCTCTGTCTGTCTTGTGGTCTGGCTGTCTCTCTGTCTGCAGCAACCAGGCAATAACAGAACTGTGGCCAGCGTCTGGGAACTTTGTTCAACTCGCAGGTTGTAGTCAGATCCAGCTGGCATGCTCTAGCAATAGCTGGCTGCCGTCACAATCAGCAAAGAAGACTGTTGAGAAGATTTACTTTAAAATTTAGCTATGGTAGTCTGCTGCACATGTATGCATAAATTGCAACACACACATGTCCGAACAGCCGGCAGTGCGAAGCTTCGCAGAACTCACATGACATTGTCTAATCCACTGTCTGAACTGCACTCGGAGGAGTCATCACGGAAAAGCAGCTCATCATCGGGACGGATCCTTATCTGCAGCTCTTGCGACTGCGACTGCAAGATCCGGGCCACCTGGCGCAAGATTACTTTGGGAGAGAGAGAGAGAGAGAGAGAGAGAGAGAGAGAGAGAGAGAGCTCCAGAGGCATCGGACAGTTCTTATTGACATGTTGAACCGAAGAAGTGACAGCTCGAGCATGAGTTGTCGGTAGATGGCCCGTGCAGTAGAGCCCGCCGCTTATAATGCCACGGAAGCTGAGAGGCTAAGTGCGCTCTGGGTCGTCGTCACTACAGCGGTAGAACAGCTCAATTGCTTGTCTTCAGAGTTATCGAGATTGCGGTCATGGCTGGATAAAGTATCGAGTGAAGTGTGCTCTCTGCGATCGCGTCTAGAGTCCTTTGAGGAGGACTTGGTGGGGTCTTTCATGGATGTGCACGAGCGCATCGATTTGCTTCACTCGCGTTCTGCTGCCTATGACCATGGTCTCGATGATCTGGGGCCCCAAACTACAGACATTAGCTTGGACACTATGGATTAAGCAGCGGTGCTTTATGCCATCGGAGTCTTGTGATGTACGAGGAGAACATTGGAGAATTGGAGATCATCTGAGGTCGCCCCAGCATATAGTGTGATTCCGGGATATAAATTAACTCTTGCTCTCCCACGAACTCAGAACGACTTGATGGTTCTTATAGCTGTCGTGGTTCTTGTGTCCTCGTGATCCATGAATATTAAACTATTTCATGCAATGACTCCCGGCAGAAGTCCGACGGAGCACGTCCCTTCGAAGCAAAACCAAGGGTGCTCCAGAGACAGAGAGAGAGAGAGAGAGAGAGAGAGAGAGAGAGAGAGAGAGAGAGAGAGAGAGAGAGATCGCCAGTGCAGAGCTAGACCCCCCCAAATCATCATCGCCACCGGAGCCTCGATGCCAAAGCCAGCAGGATAGGCTTTCGAAGCTTCGAGATCTCGACCTCCGGCCTTATAAGGCCAGCCCAAGTGTGCTATCATTAAGACACGGCTAGAGCTTCAAAGCCATATATTGCAAGGACCTGATATTCTGCATGAGACACCGGCGCACTTGGACTGCCCCTTGGCATTCTTCCAACGGACTACATTCTGGATTTTCAGGAAGCTTCGAACTCGTCGCAGATGGCACCTGACATATGGCTTAGACTTCAGGTACCCGATAGGATCTACTGGGTTCGTCAAAGTGGAGGTTTCGTGCCCAGCCTGCGTTCTTTGTGCAAGGTCCTCCGAAGCTGTCGGAGCCCTTCCCAATTTCCAACCAACGTGACCTCAGATAAGACAAATTGTCTTGATGTGGCACACAGCTGAATCCCGAACCTCTCAAACACATTTGCCGTCCTGGGGGCAGCCTCAGGGGTTGCCGACCCATAGCATCCCAGGTGTATGGTCACTTTCATGAACTTCATCTTCCGAAGCAGCTTCTCGGTTGCAGACACAAAATGATCCACCACAGCTGGTACAATTCGAACTGATTGAAATGCTACTATGGAGCGCAACATTCTTTGCCAAAGCTCCCGGAGAGGCACATATCCCCAAAGCAAGGTCGAACTGGGGTTCTCAATGACAAAGTTATTTCAGCCTTAGATGAGGATCGCAGTATTGTGGATCGGTTCTTAATTCGGTGCTACTATATGATGCTGCTTAGGAGCAAATAGCACATTCGGCGACAGAGGCGGTTGCCCATAGCACATTTGTTGCCGAGTCCTGCAGATGTCGATACACGAAATCCCCCAGCTGAGATACTGCTATGATGCTGCCGACACTGCTCCTTGCGGTCGCAGCCAAGATCTTCTCGATGATCCCCGCGACCTTGGCCGACCATGCAGAGAGACTCAAGCATTAGGTGGATGTTTCTTTACACACATAAATACATATACATAGGCGCACAATTGTGTGCCTATGTATATGTATCTATGTGTGTTAACTAATATTATGTGCGATATATGTAATGTGCTGGTCCATGCATGCATGTGTAGACATCAATGTAGCAATATATGTACACATACACACATGCATGGTGCAACCACTATTCTTCTTACTGCGGGTAATAGGAGGGTGTGGGTATGTACAAATAGGTCTTCTGTATGTGTGTACATATTTATATACGAGGATTAAGGAGTTATACATGCATGCCGGTACGGTGCTACTTGTTTTGCTTCGGTGTATTTATGTCTCTCTCCAAGATGGACGCGCTGTACAAAAATATGTGTTGTGGTCGCGCGAGTGACAATATATGCGCCTCATGCGACATTCAACGGCAAGCGAATGCGGTCATGCCATGCAGTCGGCCATGGAACATGCTCGGAATCGCGAGATCTTCATGCTTGCCATGCAGTGACGCAGCAATTAAGAACATGTTTTCAAATCGCAATCCGGATGCGTTCATGATCAGTCGCCTTCGTCCGTCCTTGTTTGTCTTCGCAGATCGCTCAACCAATGCCATGCAAAGCGGAATCGGTCTTCCCATCTTGATTTGCTGAGGGCTTTGCTGCACTAGCAGTGTTGCACGTATAAATCATAAGTCGTCCGTCATGACTCGCAGATCCCGCGGCAACCATGAAGAACATAGCATGGACGATCTCTTGGCAACCTGGGAATCATTCAAGATACTGCAAAGTGTTGACCGGCCATGCACTCAGCTATAGTCGTCCGTGCACCCACATCCCAATGCCCCGAAGTATATACTACTCGTAGACCCCCCAAAAAAGAAGTCGTCATATGCCTCATCGTTTCATCAAGACAGATCGCACAACCGCGGCACATGGCCATGAGCTAATGAATCAGCACCCTCTGTGCGGCTTTATTGCCGGAGCTCGTCACAGAATGAGCTCATCACGTAGCCTCCTTCGTTCTTAAGTCAGATAGCAGCAGCCGGCCAAACGTTACATGCGTGCTCAGGTAACTCTGCGGCGGTAGCGATAGCGTTGCGCACAGTGTTGCACGTAGCTGCAATAGCGTTGCGTACAGTGCATAATGGTAGCTCGAGTGTGCCGCAGTACGATGTTGCTTTGTGAGCTGCCGAGTGCTGCTAAAATCGCACATGTCTAGGACCTTCAATTATACCGTTCATTATATTGACTTCGGGGTTCCCGGCTGTTTCAAGATGGCAGGATTTCGGTGGTTGCATTTGAACATGCACACTATCTATCGGAAACCCTACACACTTAACCCAAACAATCGCAGCTATAGATCTGATCGGTGTATGTGTAGTCTCGAACAACCCAAATCCTAGATAGGACCTCAGAATCTGACGTTTTCGATGTTCTATGCACATGCATACTTCTCCGAAGAGCATATGAACTAAAAACAGAACCCCAACAGCGTCGCTGTTGTACCAGATGATGCCCAATATCCTATACGTCAACCATGTAAACCCCATACAGCCACCGCTTTTCCCAATAGCCCTGATTGGAAACTCAGATAGCATGTGTTTGCCGTCATGTGACCCAAGCCTATGTGGCACGTGTTGCCACACCCTTGAATTTTCACTATCATGCACACACACAGACACACCCTCAAGCCCAACAATGAACTCAATCAAAAGATACACTAGCCAGGGCCTGCATAACCCTTATTCTGAGGATCCTATAAGATCTAAACCCGAAGCCCGGGACCCCTATAAACCCGTGCACCCAACCCTAAACCCCTGCACCCCTAAACTCCTGCAGCCCTATAAACCCGAAACCTGGTGCGGTTAGTGCGCCCTACATAATCAACACCCCGGAAAACAGCAGAAGGTGTCAGAACATACTTGCGACACTGTTACAAGCCCAAAGCCCTGCAACAATCCCAGAGTACAACCCTCTAATGTCACAGTCTTCCAAGAACCGACACGACCCCTTCAAAGCCCCACAAAAGTCAGGAAGCACCAGAATTGAGACCTAATTCGTACACACATACAGTAAAGCTCCGACTTCTTAACCCAAGGAACTAACTGTTCCATTAGCCCAAACCCGCATGTAGCTGTATTCTCTAAACAAAGGCCGCCCCTGTATGTAGAGTTAAGACTGCGTGATCTGAGGTTACCACATGAAGACCCAACTCGAGCAGGGAATCGCAAAGAAGACGAGGCCGCCTTCGATGGTGTGGCGAACCTTAGATATATAGTTTCGGTGTTCGGTCTTTTGCTGTATTTTCCGTAAGCTTTGGAATCTGAGCGTCGAGGTTCAATGCCAGTAGAAAGCCGAAGCCACTGCAGAGATCCATTTGGGGGGATTCGATCACCTCGGGCACGTGTGTGCAATGAGCACACTTGTTTCGAACAACTCAACCGCAGCTTGTATAATGCCGAAACGACACATCGTAAGTCCTCGAAGCCAGGCCCAATGATTTAGCAGCAGCCGCCAGTGTTCCAGTTCCTCACATATATGTGCCGGACTGCGTAGTTGAAAGGGTTTGTTTGGTTTAATTGTGTCGCATGCAGGCAAGAGGCCTGCAAAAAACTCCACCAGGTGGACATACTTGTCTGTCTCCAATGGCAAACCTGCATGCAGGTTCGTACATAACTGGCATCGACTTGCAGTGCTGATGTGGAGCAGCTGGGTATCTGGCTCGCATTCAGGCTCGTGAGGATGTAGGCCAGCACGGAGTAACGCATGCTTGCCGACTTGAAACGTTTTCAATGTAAAGCTGGGCACTGGTGCTAGTTTCAGAAAGCTTGCCTGACCTAGTTACACAGGAGACCGTGCACACATGCAGGCAGGCTGGTGCATCTAGCTTGCGAAATATACCGACTGCATGCACGCATTCATGGACACAAGCTTTGGATGCATGCCGATCGGCACCTGATTCGAAGGATCATGACATTATATCGGAGTCGCTCACTGTTTCGCCTAACCCCCGGCAGCTGTGTGATCTACTTGAAAGATATCTCGCAGTCGTTCGTGACCGGAACAAAATGTGACGACACAAAGGCGGCTTGAAGTCGCAATGAAAGAGTGTTACTTGCAATGCCAAAGCAGGATTGAAGATCGACGGATTACCGGTGCATCAAAATTTAAGCCTGCCCCATGCAACTCGTCATCTCATCTAGATTCTAGATATAGCGGCGCTTCTTCTGCTCCTTAATCGGAATGGTGGAGAGGACAGTCGTACGCTCATCCGATACCCACCACCTTGGATGCTTCGTCTAAGCACACAAGAGCAGGAATGGCAGCACACGTGTATAAGCCGACAAGGCACCGATCCCTCACGTTCTTCAACTTGAGGTCCGGCTCGGTCTCCAAAAGCCTCATTCTCGAAGCTACACCATGATTGCGAATCCACGAAACGAATTGAAGCGACATCGTTTGAGCATCTATGTGCGGCTTGGTGGCTGTTCCTTGAACGACTCAAAAGCGGCTGTGTAGGGGGTTACGCTTCCATCTTGTCTGGTCCTTGCTTTGGCCTTTGCCTTGGGTTTCTTGGGGGTGGTCTTTGCTTTCGCCTTTGCTTTGGCCTTTGCTTTGCTCTTTGGGCTTCCTTTGGGCTTCTGATACTCCACTGGCTGCTTGCTGGCCAGCACCAGCCTCTGGGCATGGGGATTGATCGGCCGGGTCGAACGATCCGGCTTGCCAGGAAATGGATGTACCGGCTCCTTGGACTCTCTATTTGTCTGTCTCTCCCTCTCTCTCTCTCTCGTCTATGTCTGTCACTCCCTTCCATATAAAGACATCCATGTTTAAAGCTGACCAGACTCGGGCTCCGTCGTGACTCGGGTCTTGTCTTTCGCTGCCTATATGTACATCGACATGATACATGTACCCATATACAAACCTGTATATATATATATATACACACAGCTAACCTGCATGCGCATATGCATGTGGATCACTCGATTCGGTGGCATGCGCCTCCTTGGCCTCCTGCATGTCGTGATTGACCAAATCATCATTCTGCCCTTCGTCGGGTTGCTCAGGTTGCTCCTGCACCAAATCAACGGCAATTGTATTGTTTGTGCGGAAGCTAGGCGTGTGCAGTTGAGCCTCCTCGTCCAAGTCGATGCCCATGGTCTGGATGAAGCTCTCGTAGATCTCGTCGTTGGTGGGGTCCGGGAAATCCTTACCACCACTACTGCTACTGCTGCTGTGCCGATGCCTGCTGGTCAGATGCTCCTGCTCGAATTCATGTAACTGCAGATCGACACCGACATGTTGCTAATTAATGCTATATGCGGTTGGTGGCCTGATCATCTGGGTGCTCGTTCTCATCCATCGGCCACTCCCTTAGATCATGCAGTATATGTGTCGTCGCACTGACAACAGCAAAATTTCCGAGCGGCTCTGTCTGGCCAGGATCCATAGCCACATCCTTCGGCAGTGCTAGTACTGCTGCTGATCTATATTGAATTGGAAAACCATCAATCTACTGCAATATTGACAATTCATTGCTGTTTGGCAGCTGGCAACTCCAACGAGGATCCATTCTCATCACGCCAGGAGATTCGTCGATGCAAAGCTGGCTTCTTCTCAGCCTCAATTCGGCTGCTACGTACTGATCTGTCATAAACCCGTACCATCGATCGGCTCTACATCCCGAACTGCTCTGCAACTCACTGCTGTCTGGCAGCAGGCCACGGATTCTGGGGATCTGAATCTGCAGACGCCTCGACCCACGTGTTATCCCAGCCTTCATCAGCAGGCCACGGATTCTTGGGATCTGAATCTGCCGAAGCCTCGCCCCACGTGTCATCCTGATCACCGGTAGACCATGGATTCTCTGGGCCAGCGTCTGCGACCCAAGACTCGGCTTGGCCATCATCGTCACCCCATTCCCCTGCGTGTGATCCACACATCAGATTATACGCACGAATTAAAAGATCACCGCAATAAAAACCTGCCTGCAGGATGGTGCAGTGCATCGTCCCCGGAGTCCTTGAGAATCGCAGAAATGACTATCAACCATGTGGGCGCATGCATGGTATATGTACATGTGTATACGAATGCAAGCCTGCAGGTGCCCAGACATCCATGAATCATCGCAAAGAGCCTGCGTGCACATAACAGTGTAGTTTTCATTGGTGATCTATATAGGCTGTAGCACAACTGGCCTTGTACTCAGCATCCTCATCCTCATCCTCATCCTTCCAGTCACCCCAGATCCTCGTGGGCGCATCCAAGGTAGCCACCGATTCAGCCGACGCAGCCTGCGTTCATGGATCATTTGGGCGACGGTGCAAAAATGACGTTACAAGTTCAGACCGCGTGCAACTGACTGCAGGCACAAGACTGGATGCACACATGACCTGCTTCAGGGTTTCCGATTAGCGTTTGCAGGCCAGGCTTTAGGGCCTAATTTAGAGGCGATGCAAGCTATGTCTGGATCTCTACACGTATGTATACGCACTCCTTTCGAATTTCCCTCTCGTGTCCGAACTAAGTTCGTGTTTGCTGTGTCGTCTATTTTTTTCTCGTTTGTAGCACCGTATGTAGATAAGTGCTGGTACATAATTAAGTATACATGCTAGAAAATGGGTGCATGCATGTACTGGGCCTTGCGCTTCAGTGCGCTTTTGCGATGAAGTCTGACCTGATTTTTACATCTGGTCGCATGCAGACACTTCTTGCATGAAGCAGTCATGTATATTGCTCTCGGGTGGCTGGAGGAGGATCACCATCATGCGCAGCCGGCGCTGCAGCCCTTTCCTGCAGCAGTATATGTCATGCACTGATCCTATATATGCATGTCGGTATTCGTCCTCCGTGCTCCACGGCTGAGTTTCCGCATCATCCATGGCTGCAAGGGCTTCTTTGCCACGTGGTGGCACCAACGAGTTCTTAACAGACCGTTTGCAAAGATGCTGTATCGTTTTGGATTGCCTCTTCAGCCAGTCTGCTCGAGTGAGCCCGTCAGCCTGACACAACGGCACCTCTACTTTGTAGTGGTCGAGCAGGCGTTCTAGCGCACGGTTCACAGCTGTTTTGGTAAAGTACCGGGGCTCATGAACAGCACCACACCACGCAAAGGCTTGTCTGCAACACAGGTATTTCAGGGAACTCTTTGGAGCTAGCGAACCTGTCCGGCGAACCCTTTCGCCTTGATCAGGGCGCACACAACTCAAGTGCAACTGGGCCGCTATGTGCCGAGCTTTCCGCCCGATGTCTTCGGACATTTGGCCAGACAGCTGCAGCAACATCAAAATATGCGAGCGACATATCAGCGAGCATGTCTAATACTACTAATTCGAATACATTCTCTAGTAATTGTTGAGGATTCCACATTGATTCTGATTGAAATCATCATAATCATTGAAGCATCATGAGCAAAATGTTGCTTATACCACGCGAAAATCAACAAAAGTCACGAAGAAACTTTGATCACGACACCGGAAATCAGGAAGCAGAAGCGATGCTTCCAAAAGGCATATTTATAAGGACGCTTAATTTATAAGGACGCTCAGCCATATAAAGCCGATTGACACGTGATGGCAGGCAAACAAGTACGATGGATGTCAACAAGAATCTTCAGTTCGACAGCACCGAGGAAGATGTCGCCAAGCTGCCGAATCCCGTCAAGCTTGACATGAGTGGGCAGGCTACATGGATTGCCTCCGAAGGCAACCTCTTCCTCCAGGTGACCGGGAATGAGAATTTCCAGGCTTTAAGGAACCGAGAAGTGTGACTCGTTAGAAAATAGTTAACCATGTCTTGTTCGACACGTCGACTTGTAAACCGTTTCATCGAAGTGACCCAGGTTTTCCTTTGGAAGTGGCGATTGGCGCACGAAGCACGTGACATGGACAGCACACAGACTAAGCACTGCAGCCTGGATGTTTAACGCCTTTTGTGTGCATTTCTCAGGACGCAAAAGAGTTAGTCAGCGACGCTTTGGGCGATTGGTTCAGCTTCGGCGGAGAGAACTTGATGGATTCGCGGGTTTTGCTCGAGAAGAAGGATGTACCCGAACACTTGAAAGACATTCCAAGCATGGAGACTTGTGTGACACTGGCGGCCCTCGTCAGAGAATTTCAGGATGCAGGGCAAACGTCGCATCGCGTCTGGGGCGAAGGGAAGGAGTTACTCGTTTTCAAGATGCACGGACCCCCGCAACAGAAGGAGAAAAAGCCGAAGCGCCGACGTACCTCCATGGGAAACTTGAGCAAGTCGTTCGGGGCGCACCTGTCGATTGCGAAGTTCAAGGAAAGCGAGTCATTTGCATTGGCATGGAGGCCCAATCTTGTAGATTTCAGGTTATCCTTGACTCGGTCACTCAGTAAGCATGCAGTGTACCGGTGAAAACAATGATAATGTCGAACTACCCAAATCTGAACGCATGGAAGGCTGCGCTGGGAGCTGGGCGAGAACGGAATGGTCACGATCGTGCCTATTCGACCGGTGGCCGTCACGGCAGGCACCATCGACCTAGCCCCAGGAACGTACAAGATCATGTGACGATTGACCCCCACAATTCTTTAATAGTTTCCGATAGCTTGACCAAGTAAACGGAATCCACAATTTTGGCACTATGTTGCTGCGTGCACATGGACATGATGTGGAAACGAAACAACAAGGAAGTACCAGCGCTTGGGTCCGGGATTCCAGAAGAGTTGTGAATCGCTAGGTTTAGTTCCATAGTGGAAAGGCCCCGGACAAGCCATAATTAAGTATTATTATACTAATACTTAATAGTATTGATTTGATCAGATCTTTAGATTGGTTAGCCGACCGACAGCAATCCCGGGGCCCAGGAATAGGAACACAGAAGGGCAATGACCTATTCGGAAGCGTTTTGGAAAAATAAGGAAGTCCGGTTCAATATCACGAAGCAGTGTCATGCGATTTTCTGTATGCTTCGTGCTTCATTGATTCAGCTGAAGCATCTCCGCTCGAGTTCACGTAGAAGACAGTATTAGCAAGTCTACAAGCATACCATGCCTGGTTTGTCCGCGGATGAAGTGGAGCCCATCGAGCCGAAGTGGAGAAGGCCAGTTTTCGATATGGACGAAATGATGAGCACCTTGTCGGAAAAGTATGAAATAGAATCTGATTAGACCCATCCATGTAAGGACATAATGCTCAGCCCGCAGAACCGAAACAGCCGCCGACAAGACCATCTGCTTTGAAATCGACGAGGGGCTCAGCAAAAGCAGTGCTGCCAACAACGGCAACAACCACGAAGGACAGGCTCCCACCGCGTGTCCGAAACACCAGCTCGGAGGAAGAGAAGGAGCCGAAGAAGACGCAGAAAAAGAAGAAGAATAAGGACGCGGATCATGCTCCTTTGAGCGGCAACCGTAAGGACGATGAGGACGACGAAGACGAAGATGGTTCCTACGATGAGGACGAAGATGAACCCGAAGAAGACGAAAAAGTGAAGACGAAGAAGCGCCCAGCAGCCCAGAGCTCCAAGCCCAACAAGAAGCCGGCAGGCAAGAAAACAAAGAAAAACGACGGACTCTGGGAGCACTGGTGACCTGATTGCAATGTGATGCGAATCAGCAGGTAATTTGTATGTCAAATCCGATGTAACATGAGGCCGGTCCTGGACACGATCGTGGAGGAACCCTCGGAGAGCGTCCTTGAGAAATGCTTACAGGATGGCTGCGAACGCGAGGCGGGGCCAGGGTGGCCGAATCCTTCCGTTTGTGTCCAACTTGCTTGCATCACGGCCAGGACACTGCGACCACTGAGACAGCACCATTCCGAAACACTATCTCATTTGTTACCCGGCTGCTCTTAAGACAAGTTCTGATTGTGACCGCAGCACTGTTAGGCTTTCTTTGCATCGAAGGGCTTGCCAGGATTATGATGCCACGTTCTTGAAGCTAGATTGACTGTGATTTCCAGGTAGAGGAAATGGGACCCGTAAACCAAGCACTGTTTGAAGACTGGGACACTATGACGGCAAGATGGGAGCTGGTGGACCGGCTGATGTTAAGGAGCTTCATCATGCCACTGTCACAGTGCGAGCTTCAGGACCAAGCAAATCGCGGTCTGCCGTCAGATGGTGACAAGGCAGTGGCAGGCTGTGTGTGTTGTTGTTTTGATTAATCAAACTCCAAGCTGCTAGGAATCGCACGTGATCAAGCAAGAGAATATTGCAATGAAGGACAACAATGAGGCAGGATTCCGGCGGGCTCGTGTCTACATTCTGGTAGAATCCGCAATATTAAATCACATTTTACAGATTTTGAAGCTTTCAGGAAACACACGACGTGAACAAGCAGCAGGAGATTCCAATGAGTGACAAAAAGGAGGCAGGATTCCGGGCTCGTG